CCCCAAAACCCCAAAACCCCAAAACCCCAAAACCCCAAAACCCCAAAACCCCATTTAGGAAGGAATTTATTGATTTTGTTAAATTTTATTAGGCCAGATAGGTAGATTTTTTATGGAGGAAGTACAAGAGAAGGGGGTTGGGAAGGAGAGAAGGGAAGGAAGGAGGAAGAAAGGTAGGTGGAGAAGGGGAGATAGGGGGTTAGGGGGATTTTTTGAGGTGAGGAGGGCTTTTTTGGGAATTTTTAGGGATTTTGAGGAGAATTGGAGGTTTAGGGAGGAAGAGAATGAAAGGTTTCAGGAACTCTGTTGGGGGACAGAAAAGGAGGAATGGAGATAAGTCGCCGTAAGTTAGAGGTTGAGAGTAGTTTAGATATGTGAAGAATGGGTATAAGTCTATGAGGTCCTTGAAAAATAGTTCGAGTCCTTCTAAGAGAAACTTGAAGGCAATTTTTGGGAAGGGTAAACTTAACTATTTAAATGAAACTGGACCTGGGGATTATGAAGCAGCAGAGCTCACAGGTAGTAATTTATCAAATTCAAACCTGAGGAACTCCCCTAAGTTCTCATTTGGAACTAAATTGGAGAAAACTGGAATTATCACAAAATAAACACATCCAAGAATCATTAGGGATAGATTCGCCAGGTGTTGGAGTTTATGATACTTTGGCTAGTATAAGGTCATCTAAAGATTTTACGATGGGAAAAGGCCAAAGATTTCAAGAATCTTCAACTGTGTTGAACATAAAAAGACAAGTGTAAATATTTGTATTTATATCTAGCCCACATTCTTATTTGAAAACAACTGCAAACCTAACTTTAACTAATTGGAAGGGAGCAAAGCTAGGCAAGGGGAAGAGATTCACCAATCAAAATCCATTTTACAAGGGCACTATAAGTCCAGGGCCACGTTATAACATTCAGAATATTCCTTCTCTAACCACCTCTCAGAGCAGGTCTTCATTAGATAAGGATTCACAAAATAGTAAATTGTTTGGAGCTCCTTACAGCAAATATAAGAATGTTTATTTTCACGAATTTGGTAGAGACTTTTGCAATAGAGAAGGACCAGGACCTGCTTTCTATCAAACAGTATCTGAAAGCAAGGGCCAAAAGTTCTCCTTCCCCAAAGGCTCAAGAAAACTATCTTCAAATATCTCAAAGAGCAAAGCTCCCAGTCCTACATCCTACAGATACGAAAAAGCAACCAAATTAGGTCACCAAGTCTGCGCTGTCTTCGGTAAGGGCACTCGTGAAGTCGATTTTTCCAAATGTAAGCTCCCCTCCTACCCTCTAGATGCCTCCCAAAACAGCGCCATGATTGAGAAAGGAATTTATTAACTTCCCTCACGATTCAAGCACTCTCCTCTACTCCGGGGTTTTGGGGTTTTGGGGTTTTGGGGTTTTGGGG